AGTCTTTCAATGTTCAGTCGAAATTAGAGGTCTGTGGTCATGTAGTGAATTTAAGATTTGGAGTCTGTAGTTTGGACAATTCCAAAACACTTCTTCTTCTTCTATTGCTGTTCCGCCGCAATGTATATTATTAGAATATTTTAATCTAAAAAACTGCCTTTTACTTGTTTAACATGGGAAAAGCTTTGAAATTGAGGAAAAATTGCATTAAAAAAAAACAAAGTGGGTAATGACCACGGTTGTGCATGTTAGTTACGCTCAGAACACAGAGATAAGAGAGCCGTGAACGAGGATACTTAGGGCAAGGTATAGTTAATTGGGAAGTACAGAAGGAGAATAAAAGCGGAGGCTGGTTTGTGGGTTAACATGTAGCTATGCCTTCTTTAACGAGTCAGGCGTCCGATTTCTCAGGACGTCTGTGAGTCCTCTGTTTTCTATCCATCTTAGAGTGCACCCGAGACTTCGTTGTTCCTAAAGCCCTGTCCACACGATCGAGCAGTGCTGTACAATCGCCGGACAGTTAAAAGCGAAAATCATATTGTTGTGTACTATAATAATTGCTGCTATGTGCAAAAAGAACCAAATGCAGAAAAGGTTAGGTCGAAAAAAGTATTGGGAAGTCATGCCACGATTTTACGTGAACTGCAAGATGGACATGAGCGAGACATCACCAATTACATGAGAATGGACTCCAACACCTTTCACTAACTTAGCGAAAGTAGAACCATATATAAAAAAACCCAGGTTACCAATATGAGGGAGAGTATATCTGTAGAGGTAACGCTCGTATATCTTTCAACTGGGTGACCTACACGTCACGAGGATATCTAAACAAAGTTTGTCTCGCATAATACCTGCAACTTGTCAAGCCATGTATGAAGTACTCGAGGGAGAATACTTGCAGGTGAGATTTGTAGTACATAAACATTCATGTTAGAATTATGATATACATAGACAGGAAGCTATGGGACGAGAGCAGCAGGAACGAAGAACACACACGAATGTCCTCATTATATAAACAATCTCCCATTTATTGTCACGCCAATAATGTACATTGCATAAGCTTATTTGGTTATACAATGAGCTGGGAACATATACGTATCACATTTGCAATACTTATATACCGCCAGGCAGGCTGACCGTGATTTCGCTCGACGACGGGCACGGGCACTCGGCATTAAGCGCGTGCCCGCCGGGCACTGCTCGATCGTGTGGACGGGCCTTTAATATAACGACACAGAATTTGAAATTGCAACAGTGGTGGTAGATGTTAAGGCAACTTAGATATCTGATTATAGTTGGAACATCCATTAAGTGATGTTGAAAGCTTTAACTGTCTTTGTTGTTAGTAAAACTAGTCGAGTGAGTGTCGAGTCTGCCAGTACGAGTGGCTTGTCCTTGGGGGATAGCCACAAGTTCCAAGTACTACCGCAATTAGATCATTTTGATGCCCGAACATCAGATCGAATTTACCAACAGTATTGAAAGACTTTTCTCACACACACACACTGTACCGCCAACTCTGACCTGCACAGACTAGCCATGACGAGCAGTGCCGGATTTAGACCTGTGGAGGCCCATGGGCAGCCTCTTTGTAGAGGCCCCCCTCATTATAACTACTCAAGAGGGTGGGGTGGCGAGTGAAGCGAGCCTAAACATCTGGGAGTTCCGGGGCGCTGTAAGCCCCCCGGGAAAATTTTGAAATTTGAACACTTCTTTGGAGAATTTTGAAGCCATATGCAGTTATATTGAGGAAATTAAAACATTGAGAAATTTTTAATTAACTGTGTATTTATTGATAGTGTACAAATTTCCAACACACACACAAAAGTGAGACATGACTGGAGTCATTCATGCGGTTTCAAGTCGACCAGCCCTGATATAGCTACTACTTCCCATGTGGAGGCCCCTGGGCAGCTGCCCACTTTGCCCACTCCTGAATCCGGCCCTGCGACCATCCCACAAGGGAACTAAAAGCAGTTCTAGACTATGTTATAGTTCACACAAAGCCTGTTCATCGAGCTGATGGCGCCGTGAACCTCTCATTGGGAACTGCCCGTGCTGCTTGCTTGCTTTTTTTTTTATGGGGATTAGCCCACCCGGACACAGGTCACTGACCCACATCGGGGCGAAAATGTAATAATAATGTGGATGTCAGTAGCATTTTACCAAATCCAGCTGGTATGAAACGCAAGGTTATATATATATATATATATATATATATATATATATATATATATATATATATATATATATATATATATATATATATATATATATATATATATATCACGCAGACTTTCAACATATAATCAATGACCTCACCAGCCAGGACTCGAACCCTCGACCTTTTGCGTGTGACACGGGCAATCCCATTGGAGGTTCACGGCGCCATCAGCTCGATGAACGGACTGTGTAAAATATATCGAAGTCTAGGATTGCTTTTAGTGTCCTTGTGGCATGGTGGTAGCGTTCCCTGGTCATATGCAATAGGTCGAGGGTACGAGCCCAGGCTGGTGAGGTCGTTGAGAGAGAGATATATATATATATATATATATATATATATATATATATATATATATATATATATATATATATATATATATATATATATATATACACTAGCAGAAACGCGCTCATTCGCTAGGCCATGGTAGGACGCCACCCTACTGGAGACTCCACATTGTGTCACTGTTCAGTCCCCAAAACTTCTTCTTCCATTAACGGTGTATGTAAGTTCCACTGTGTTTTTTCACTACAACGGTACAGTAAAGTATTTTTTTTTTTGCATTAAACTTACTATTTTATTGTCTAATAATCACTACATATAACACCACCCATCATCACTACATATAACACCATCCATCATCACTACATACAGTCTGCGCGGAATATTAAACTGCGATAGGACCGAAGAACTTAAGTTCTCGCAAAAATAAGATCACATGTTGTGAAGGCTGTCCTCGGATGCGAGATGTCAAAACGCTTGGTTTGCTGGCAAGTGGTGACATTTGGCAACTGAGAACATGTCACGGCTTGTAGTCGGCTCGCCTCTGGCAACCGTGAGGGGAAGATTTATTGTGCGGGTTCCCGCGCCATGTGGCCGTGTTTTGTCTAGTTTGAGGTGCATTAACCCGACATAGTGGCCATCAGAGATGTCCAGGAGGGTTACTACAAGAGACGATATTGCACCAGTGATTGCATTGTACAAAGCGAACCATGTACCGAGAGAAATTTCGGCTCGGACTGGTGTGGCATTACGAGTTGTTCAAAATCTTGACAAACGCTTCTGTGACCTTGGAGAGGACGAGTTACCATCTCCATAACCTAAGTCTGGTAGGCCTAAATTATTGTTTCCACGGACACTTGAGGTTATTTCTCGACAAGTTCGGTCCAATCCCTCACTCACAGCACGTGAAGTGAAAGAGAGAAACCCCCTGTCTTTTGAGTCACGTCTCGTTACGTTGTGTTCAACGAGCCCTGCACGATGACCTGGGATTTAAGAGCTTTCGTGCCCGCCGTAAACCTCTGTTGACAGAGACAGAAGGAAAATAGAGTGAAATTTTGCAAGAAATATGAAGTGTGGGATTTAGAGACGTGGAAGTGTATTGTGGTCCGACGAGGCTACGTTTTCTGTGACTGGGAGTAGTGGTGGGAGGGTGTACCGCCTGCCCCACTCAGACGCACACCTCCCACAGTACACTGTAAAGACTGTTAAGCACCCTGCCTCGCAGGACGGTGCCCCATGCCACACTGCTAAAAGTGTCATACAGTGGCTCAAAGACTGTGAGGTACCTTTCTTTAATGACTGGCCTGGCAGTAGCCCAGATCTTAACCCAATAGAAAATTTGTGGTCCATTGTTAAGCGTCGTCTGCGCGACGCTGACACATCATCAATCCCGAAGCTAGAGGCAGCCATCAAGGATACCTGAGCTAACTTGTCACCTGACCTCTTGCAAAACCTTGCTGAGAGTGTTCCTCGAAGGCTAAAAGACTGTCTGAAGCGCAAAAGAAACACTACAAAGTATTAATTGAAGTGGTAAGTGTTACTTGACTTAATTTATATAACAATCGTAAATATCAATATTTTTTCAGCACACGATCTCACATTCCGCGCAGACTGTATAACACCACCCATCATCACTACATATAACACCATCCATCATCACTACATATAACACCATCCATCATCACTACATATAACACCATCCATCATCACTACATATAACACCATCCATCATCACTTTACATACAACACCATCCATCATCACTACATATAACAACATCCACTATCACTAGATATAACATCATCCATCATCACTACATATAACATCATCCATCATCACTACATATAACACCATCCATCATCACTGCATATAACACCTTCCATCATCACTACATACAACACCACCCATCAACACTACATATAACAACATCCATCATCACTACATATAACATCATTCATTATCACTACATATAACACCATCCATCATCACTACATATAACAGCATCCATCATCACTACATATAACAGCATCCATCATACATATAACAGCATCCATCATCACTACATATAACACCATCCATCATCACTACATATAACATCATCCATCATCACTACATATAACATCATCCATCATCACCACATATAACACTACCCATCATCACTACATATAACACCATCCATCATCACTACATATAACACCATCCATCATCACCACATATAACACCATCCATCATCACTACATATAACACCACCCTTCATCACTACATATAACACCATCCATCATCACTACATATAACACCATCCATCATCATCACTACATATAACACCATCCATCATCATCACTACATATAACACCATCCATGATCACAACATATAACACCATCCATCATCACAACATATAACACCATCCATGATCACTACATATAACATCATCCATCATCACTACATATAACAGCATCCATCATCACTACATATAACAGCATCCATCATCACTAAAGATCGGTAAAGTAGGTTCCGAGATTCTCGTGCGGACACACACACACATATATATATATATTCACTTTGTCTGGATTTATCAGAGAGAAGTACAGTACTGTATTTTCATATACAGTTCACAGAAATTGAGGAAGCAGGAATGAGGATCAGCGAGCAACTGCAGTTGTCATCAGAAGTGTCAAGAGGATAGTAAGTGCTGGGATGGTGGTGGTGCTTGATCCACTTTCATCACCACCCACACGTGATGTCCTGCAGACAAGAGAACATCTGTCAAGTTACTCATCCCTAGCATACCAAAGAATAAAAAAATTATGCAAAAAAACTATATATACCGTTGTTAATTATATACTATATAATATTTAGTACAGTATAGTTTATTTTCCATATAAACTACTCACTGTATGTACAGTAAACATACTTATCAGATGTATACCTGGCGAAGAGGTTAAAAGAAAAATGGTGACAATCTCATGTTTTACTTGATGTTTTGGCATAAAAATAAGATATAAAGATATCTTTGCCATCACTTGGTTTATTATATACCTGAAAATTATTGTATACAGTAAAAACTCTTCTTGCTTGTAAAGTAAGTTAATATAAAAATAATTCCACCCAATAATATAAACACCAAATGACAGTTAAGTACACAAAGGAAGTGGTTATTCTCTCTTTTTTTTTTTTAAGAAAAAATTACATCTTACCTGCTATCATCAACTTCATATTTATAATCATCAAGGTCATTGTCTACATCAAGGTCAATGCCATCATCATCATCATCAACATCAACATCAACAGGGTCAGGCTTCCTTGGGCTTGGTGGTGTAGTAAGGGAAGGTCGCTTATTCGAATGGGTGGTGAGGGCTTGGTTGATAGCTCGGAGCAATGGGAACCTGCAAAACAAAATAGTTCAAATATCTTTAGTTACCATCAACAAATAAATACAATTCTTTCCAAAAATATCAAAGAGCATCATCTCTCCAACCGGATATATTTTATGTACCTGAATTACAGTATATCTTGAAGTATCTAAAGCTAAATATACTGCAATTCTATAATGTGTTTCTCATTCAATAAAAGTATTAGCTTTCTTTAATTTACGATAAAAAAATATGGGACAATTAACAATATTCATCTCCATTACTTTATGTTCTTTGGAGCACAGGAACCAGTGAAGTCATCAGTATCTATGGACCAGATCATGATCCCACCAAGACCTTGTTTCTGAGCATAAGCAACCTTGACACTGAGGGATATTTCATCATCGTAACCAACCCACATGTTGTCACGGACCATGTAAGGTGCCTGATGTGCCTTTTGCCACACAATACTCCAAGCCCCTCCCTCCATTGTTTGTTTCTCACAAATCTGCAATATGTACACATATTAATAGAATCTTAGGTGAAGGAAATGGTAACAGAAAAAGTGGCAACAATGACAAAATATAATACAGTACTGCACTATTTTAATACAGCTGCTCCCCAACTTACGACGGGGTTAGGGACCGACATCCAGGTCGTAAGTCGATATGGTCGTAAGTTGGAAATGCTTAAATAATACATAGAAATCTAAAATGGGGGTCTTTTTTTTTTTTTTTTTCTCAGCACCACAAAACACTCACTTTTAAGCTTGCCAGCCAATTTAAAGTGAATTACAGATGAAAATTTTGTCCGTGTACCGACTTTGGGACTTGAAAATACGTAATTTGACCAAATTTTAGTACGACCGAGGCAGGTCGTAAGTGCGGGTGGACGTCAGTCGAGTAGGTCGTAAGTCGGGGAGGAGCTGTATACTGTATCTTCATATCAGATTTTGTGGTAGACTGAGGAAATATCAGTACTGTAGTCATGATAATGACACTACTGTATACAAATGTACATAATGTTGATCATTTTCATACCTCATTATACCCCAAAAATCCATCCTCCCTTGTGTAAGGTCCAGCAAAGGCAGATGAGAGTGCTGGAGCACTGATGCCTACATTGGCTGGATCACTCAGTAGGAAGGTCCTGCCATACAGACCAACACCAAGCACCAGCTTATGAGCTGGAGCACCTGATTTAAGGTACAGTTTCACGGTTGTATCCTGTTGAGTGTAAGCAGATTATTTCAAGAACAAAGGATTGTTGATCATAAAATACAGTACAGTACATTGAATGTTGAAAATTCTTGTAGTTACTTTAATGTTTAGAAATATACATAGTGTATTGCAAGTGCATAATAGCATAGTATATCATCCTATTTGCTCAAAAACATATGAGAATACAGTGGGATCTCAAGTTTAGCGAGTTTTAGATTCGCGATTCATTTGCATCGCATTACTTTTAAAATTAAAGCCTCTCAAGAACAGCGATTTTCATTACCAGTTTCGCTAGTCAATGGAGAGTGGGCTTGTTATCCGCCGACCCGCCGATTATTTTTTGTTTACGGCAGTTTGAATGAGCGAGAGCGAGTGGTGCAGTGACCTTGGATTATATAACCCATTGGGCTTACGTTTTGCGATATTCTTGATTAACTATACTTGTGTACTAGCAATTCTCGTGTATTAACGATAAGTGAAGTGCATAATGTAAATGTCGGGAGCGGTTCTGGTGGTAATGATAGCCATTGAGAAGGTCAACAAGGAAAGCCCCAAACCAAGCGTGACTACCATAAGAAGGCCAAGAAGAGGAAATACACCCTTGAAATGAAATGAGAGATGCTTGAAATTATCAAAAGTGGTACTCTTGCCTGTGAAAACATGCGTAGGTTCAACAGCCCCGAATCGACCATATATTTCTTAAGAAGAACAAGGAAGCTTTAACTGCTTCTGTGAATGTATTCTCAAGGTTTTCTAGTACAGTAACTGGGCATATATATATGTTATTTTCTTGGTGGGTTGTAGGTCATTATAGGAGGGTTTGGGTGACACCGCAGAACCGATTATGCTTATTTACGTGTATTTCAACGTCACTCGTTTCGCGATTTTAAATTTTGTGACGCTAAAACTGGTACCAATTAGTTGCAAAACTAGAGATCCTACTGTATAAAAGAAGACTAAACTCAACACTTCATCACCAACATGTATGTGTTAGCTGTTACTGCCTGATGGCATGGTCTCTCAGTTGCCATTAGGCAAATTTGAAGCAATATTTTACTAAGGGCTGCTCTCTTATTGTCAACCCACTTTTACAGAGAAATAACGAACTCAAAAATATCCCCTGCAATTATTTCAAATAAACAGTACTGCTGAAGGCAATCACCACATTATGAAATTACAATGATCTATTAAGTAACACTAGACAATCACTGAAGGTGATGTAAGTACGTATCCGATAAAATTTCTCGGTAAAAGAGGGTCATAACTCGAAGAACTTTCCCATATTTAGAATCACTTTACAAATACAGTACAATAATGATAATTCTTTGTCTTGCAAATTAGAGTCACAATTACCACATTAAGGGTCTTCTCAACATCAGATTCATCATCTCTGGGATACAGTGGAGCATTATGACCAGTTTTACCATCCCATTTGCCATGATAGTCATATGCCATTATATGAATGAAGTCCAAATATTGTGCCAGATCATCTATGTCATAAGCTGTTTCAATTGTGGACTTCCCAGCAGCCATGGCAGCTGTCAGCATCCAACCATACTTGTTGAACTCCTGACGCAGCTCCTGTAAAATTACAATAGTGTTTTGAGATGAAAAAGAAAATATACAATCCTGGACATTTTTTCAAATACTATCACACCAAGTTATCGCAAGTGATACCTCAAGTCTTCCATTGCATATACAGCACTGTACTGTATTTATGTAAAATACTGTACCAAAGTCAACGCCTAGCTCTAGGCAACCGTTATTGTACCCATATGTTAAAGTTTTAGTAAGTTATATAAAATAATGCAAATCATAATGTAAATATTTTTTTATTTATCATAAATAGTATTGTTCATGGAAGCAAATGTTTGGTATATTATACTAAAATATCAGTACTGTGCTATACTGATGTTTAACTTTTGCAAATCATGATGAACGAGGGAGATTATGAAAATACAGAACGAAGCATTAAAATTAACGGACATGAAAAATGCAAATGACCTCTATATAAAGATGTATAATGAGAAACAAAAGCAGCTGTGCAAGGTTCTTTCGACAGCTTTATTATTCGAAGGCCTAAACCATCAAATTCAGCATCATAAGCAGCTTCATCAACAACTCCAGGTTCAGCAACAGCTTTATGGGAAAGCTACAGCTTCAGCCAGGGTTGAACCTACAGCTCAGCCGGAGTTGAACCTGATGACTTCGTCATCTGAGTAAAAACCCACATCATCATTGGCTGTCCTTATGTTTTAGACTTTACCACCATTGGCGAGTAGAATTTTAGTTTTACATTCCTAAATATTGTTTAAAACATATAGAAACAGTAAATAAGTGTTGCTTTCACATTCTTATGTAGAGAAATGACGATAAGTTTTCACATGTATGCACTTACATCTGGTTAGCTATTTCTATTGTACCATTTATTAACATTAAATAACATTACTTAAAACATACATACATGTATTAATTTTTTTACATAAGTTCACTACAGCTACAACCAGGGTCTTATTTTCTTCAGTTTCTTATGTAGAACCATTGTCACTCACGGAAACAATGCCGTCTTGTCTCCTCGTGTCCTTTAATATTCTGCATATAATTAATGAATTGCATTGTTCATTTCGCATATATAAACATTAATTCAATCAAACGCTTACAGTATTCAGTATTAAACAAAAATGAATCTTTTGTACATAATCTTAAGATAAATGACTATGTTTCCTCGAGTGTGCAGGTATACATTGGCGTTCCACAGCACTGTCTCACTTTTCTTCTTTACCATCAGTGGTTACTTCTGCTGTACATTAAATAACATTAATTAAAACATACATATTTTTTACATTAAATTTACTGTATGTAAATTGTAAAAATTTAAATAAAAGAGAAAACTAAACATAGCGTTTAAAGTGTACTGTACAGTGTTGTGGCTTGGCGCGGGGTTATGCAGTGTTTACAGTTCACGTTCGACATCACATGTTCAATTGATTTATGTGTTTTGTTTGTGAACAATTGCAGAAATAATTTATGTAATATTTATGTATACAGTATACCTGTACAGTATATGTAAATTGTAAAATTTTAAATAAGAGAGAAAAACAAAATACATAGCGTTTTAGACCCGTGCGCTCTGTTTACTCCACACGTTCCGTTTGAAACACGTGTGAAGTTTTTAAGCGTCCTCGGTGAATTCTGATTACTGTTTCTCCAATTTTGTGACTATGGAAAAGAAGAATATCTCTGGGAAGCGTTCTGGTGGTGATCGTAAAAGAAAGGCTATAACACTTTAAGAAAAGCTTGATGTTTCATGACTCCTCAACATCAACCTTCTCCCCCATCAAGTTATATTCATATTTTTTCAAGGTAAAGTGTGACATTTGCTGTATGATTTCATAATTAGATATGAATGTAACATTTATTTAGACTGTGCTATCCTTTGTGTTAGGCTAACTACGAATTTTTTTTTCGATTTGGAGTAATCTGCACCTAACCCTATTTTCTCCATAAGCCCTGTTATTTCTATTACGCTAATTTCTATAACACGATGTTTTACAAGAACACAACTATCGCGTTATAGCAGAACACAACTATCGCGTTATAGCAGAACTACCTGTATAAGAAGTGATATTTTCCCTCAGTGCTCTACTAAGGTGGGTAAAAAGACCCTGGACGGCATGTAATAAAAACAAACCTACAGCAGTGTTAAATCATGACATGCAGTGAGACACTAAATTGCATTACAAAAACAAACCCCATCAAATAATATAATTTTGTAATAGTTATACAAAGCCTAGACTTCAAGTAATGGAATAAAATACAAACCCTAATGACTTACAACTAATGATGAATAATGGCAAACTTACTTTTACAAGCTCCACAAAATTTTCTTTGTCTTCTGGAACTCCACCTCTGTTGGCAGGATATTCCCAGTCCAAGTCCAACCCGTCAAATTTGTGTTCCCTGTAATAAAAGAACATTCTAATAATGGTTCTTAAATTTGTATACAGAGTATTGACCATTAAAAGGAATTCAAGCACCTTCAACTGGAGAAATTTGGTAAAGTGAGATGATTAGTCAATTGGGCTCCTACCTAAGGATCCTAATCCAAATTGGTCCCAGGCATAACTCATTCATTATGAGCCTCCATCTTCATGGTTAGGATGACACCAATCTGAACTACGACCATCAAGCAAATGAAACATTTACATTATGCACATTCTTTTAAACCTTCAACATTCAGGGACACATACCTTCAGTACTTAAAGTGAGCCTGAAAAGTTATGGTTTTTGAGTTGTGTGTAAAATATTCTTATCCTTGTAATTTGAAAGATATTTATATAAAAATACAATGTACAGTAGAAGTAAATTTAGGACACTAGCATCATTCTAGGAGCTGTATCCAATTAGCCTCAACACCCACTACCTGTTATGATAATCAGAGGAAATACACAGTACAGTACAGTGATCCCTCGGTTAACGATTTACCTTCCATAAGATTCTTAATTTAAATTAACGAGCAATCCCTCGATTAACGAGTTTTTAACGAGTGACCCTCCACATGTTTTAGCTTGCATTTGGCGGTCCACCAGCTGTAGTATTAGTCCGCCAATACAGTAATCGGTTCTAGGGCTTAAATTCCTTACTATTTTAGTAAATATCAAGAAGTTTATACTATTCAATAATTTTAAAAGTTTAATATTAATTTTTTTAGTCATTTTAACAATTATTAAACATAATTGAAGTACAGGAAACTAGTTTTATGCGCACAAAACAGCCTGTCAACACACCAAACAGGCGTCAGTCTCTGTCTTTTCAGTGGAGGTAACATCTTGCTTGAGACTCTCCAACTAAATGTTTTTTTGTGTGTTTCCAAGCAAATATATTGGTCAATTTCAAATTTATTTTACATATTGACGATATATAATGCAGTGCAGTGTTGATTTAAAGAAAATAATCTTGAATTACACCAAGAGAACTAAAATTTTATGAGTGAAATGGCACCATGGGGTGACTTCTCTTCCACCCCAATGCCTTCTCTTCTCCCTTCTCCTCCACCCCCATTCTAATTCCCATCATCATCATCATCATCCAGGAGCCTTCTACATACACACCTCAAACTAAGTGTACTTTACTACCTTTTTTGTTGATTTTAGGCAATTTTTGATGAGCTGGAACCAATTACCCAAAAACCCATTGAAACAATGGTTTCGGTTAACGAGCAACCTTCTGTGCTCGTTCACCGAGGGACCACTGCATACGTATAAGAAAAATGTATAAAATACTGTACGCACTGCCTTACAGATTTTCGTGCAAATTTGTGTGAACGCTGTACTGGTGCTAGAATAGCTACAGTGTCTTCACTTCCTAATGTGTGAGGTCTCTCACACATGAGGACAATATTGCTGGCGCAATACATGCACTCACGCGATCACAAAATAATCTCTCTATTTCATATCATTAAGCTTAACAAAGTGAACAATATAATTATTGCTTACTGGATAAACTTCACAGCAGACTTAATGAAGGTTTTCCTGGAGGCAGCAGTTTTGGCCATGGCTGAATATTTTTTAGAACCTTCTGTCCAGCCTCCAATAGCAACCAGCACCTTCAATCGAGGGTTCAAGCTTTTCATGTTGACAAACCTTTCAAGAGCCTCTGAAAAGTAGAATCTGGTTAAAGAAAGTTGAGGAAAGGAATACACAAAAAAGAATATCCACAGATTGATTGTCATTCATACTTCTTTAAAGACAATCCTAGGATATAAAATATTATAAAACAAAAATGTCTAGCACACTTACTAAGCATTTCCCTTGGACAAGTGAAGTACTGTACCCCTGTATACTGTATTATGCACACTACTGCTCGTCTTTCTCAATACTTTTCACAACAACTGTTTTATAAGTCAAAGATCATCTATAACTATAATATTCTTGCTTTTGTAACAATGACAAGGAAGTTGTAAAATCATGGCCATTATATCTGGATTAACATAGAAGAAAACCAAATTTATATTTGGCTGATGCCTCAATCCAAGCATCATACTCACTCTTGTTAAAGTCATACTCTGGATCAAGGGACTTAATGGTGAGAGATGTCTCATCTAAACCAACGAATGAGTAGATGAGGGAGGTGCAGAGCGTCGGGTCAATGTTTTCTATGTTGAATTTGCCTGCACCTGGCCTGTACACTGCCCATGATCCCAGGTAGCACACCACCTGCTGCTTATGCTGTGCCTCAACTCCGCCTGCAACAACAGACATCACAGGAACGTAAGACTAAGAACTCATCAGGGGTTCAGTGTCACTGCAGTACTGCTTTTAGACCCTATGTATTTAATGAAAACATAATAAGTTTATAAGCCTAAAAATTTAAATGCCAACCTTGAATCCATGAACATGTACAAAAATTCATGCACATTGGACTGATCAACATTTTATCATCACACCTGAATTTTAGTACTGTAACTGTACTTACAGACACACTAACAGGATCTTCTTTCCACTCTTACAAACACAGGTTCCATAAACTAGATATATCTGTATAATGAAAATTATGAACCTTTGATATGACTCCTTAAGAAAAGTACTTAAGTAATATTATAAGGGCAACGTAACGAGTAACTCATAAGTACTGTACTTTGCTTTTCCGAATGTTAAGAATACAGTACAGTATTGTATTAATCTTTGTACTTTTTCCTATGAATATCAGGTGTCCAGAAAAAGTAATTGAAAATGTTCCAATTTTGGCTGAAAAAATATATCATAGGATATAGATTAGTTTTGGTTTCTTTTAGTTTGGTTTGGTTAGGTTACGATTAGGCTTAATTTGATTATGTTAGGTAAGATTAGAAAATAGTTTGATTACTTTAGGATAAGTTTGTAACTTGTTTCCTATTTACAAATATCAGCGGGTTGCCAGGAAGACAACACAAGCGTAATTTCCCTTGATCACATCTTAAGAAACATCGATAAGAAATTAGATAAGAATAAGCATAGAGTGATAAGTGGCAGGAGTACAATGGAACATACTGTACTGAATAGTAAGCTCTCCTTAACCAACAATAACAACAACCCTTATTGTTGACCACGACACATTTCAACACACCATGGGTTTACATTAAGAGTATATACTGTACTGTTAACTTTAACTCTTAAGCCCGGGTTAGTGTGCCGCTGGCAGTACCCCACACCTGGGGGTAAATGGAGAAAAAATAAACTTTTCCAAAAACAATGCTTAACCTATTTAAATGAAAAAAAAAGTAAGAACAACTATATATATAGAGCCTCTAGAAACTTCCCTGGCTGCACAGAGGAGGAGGGGGAGACAAGGAGACTTTGTTGGTTTGACAGCTGACGCTCGTGGTCCTTACGCACTTAGTAGCCATTTTTAACTCGCCTTTGTGTTCGAGGTGGCCAATAATACATATATTTACTGATCTTAATAATTATTTGATATAAATAATTCATTTAGAATATTTTATTTGCATTATTTTTCATAAAACTAATTGGCAACACTCATCAGTCGGTCGCCAGTCTGCCTGTGTGTCTTTTTGTTTGGTAGAGCAAGTAATGCATAAAATAATAATAATTCCACAAATAAATACATTTATAACATAATCATCACATTATTTTACAGTAATACTACACTACTTTTAGCAATAAAACTTTGATACAACAGGATAAAATGGACAAACAATAAAAACTAAACAAACAAAAGTAGGTAATTATGATCAGGAAGCTTCCCTGTGGCTGAGCATGTGCTGTGACAGGCAAATATTCACACTGGAACCTGATATCCCGCGCTGGGCATTTAAACAGTGGCGGGAATAGGTGGATGTTCTGGAACATCACCCGGGGCGCACTGGTCGGAAATTCTGGAACGTCACCCAGGGCCTAAGGGTTAAGGAATTGTTGAAGCAAGCGATCTTCATGTCCAAACGGCCAGTAAGTGGTGAAATGATAAATGATTTAATTCAACAAGACATTAAAAAAGATTTACAAACATATTAACCTCAATCATTCTCAAAGCACCCCAGGTAATTCCTATCCAGTCTGATGATAAGATTTTGAACACAAGATTACAATCACACTTAGATTAGGCACCCCAGATTATTTCACCAAATCAATATTATTATTAAGTCGACGATTAAAATTACGTTTATCACATTGCAAACTGGTGGGCTTAAGGCTGAGTAGATCCGTACAGAGTCTGCACCCCCTTCCTCCCCAACAGCGACAGCCATAAGGTGTAGGGAAACAGGGGCTGAAGCGGCACCTGGAAGTCTGTTGACAAGCAATTACAGAATGCAGTAAAGCATGAAGGCTGTAGCTGGTATTGCCCTGACTGCAAAAATCAAAGTGAAAGAGGCAATTGCAAGCCTGGATCTTTGCTTGTTGCCAAAATAGAGCAAGTTGGGAAAGAAATCCTTGCTAAGACTGAGGAAGTAACTGATAGAATGGAAGGGGTAGTGAAGAAGAGTTATGCTCAGGCCTCAGCAGGACCTCGGGAAGTGGCGGAGAGTAATGCAGGATCCAAACAGGTTCTACAGCAGCTAGGGAAACTGAAGAAGTGTCTCAAAGAGACGACAACTAGCACACCTACTGCTAGGAGAGAGGAGGAACAGCAGGAGCGTTTTGAGCGCAGGAACAACATAATAGTTTTTGGAGTCCCAGAGAGCCAGTTGGAGGAAGCTGAGAGTAGGAAAACACAGATAAATTGCATTTTGAGAATATTTGCACAGAGGCTCCGAATATGTCCATCCTCCCTCAGGATGTGAGAAGGCTAGGTCAAAAGCAGGAGGACAAGCCTCGCCCCCTCAGGATCACACTAGTGAGTGAAGAGAAGAAATGAAAAGTTATTCAGCAGGCAATAAACCTAGCAAGGTGCGAGGCATTTCGGAATAGTGTATGTTCATTCACCCAGATCGCACGGTAATGCAGAGGGAACAGCACAAGAAACTCCTACAGGGCTTGAAGCAGAAGAGGGAGATGTCGAGGAGGAATGGGGACGGGTGTACATGGGTTATATCCAGGGGGAGGGTAGTGGATGCAAGAGTGCCAGCACAGAGCCAGGAGACACCACCCCACCCACTCTACCTCCCACCCAGGAGGAAGTGAGTGCCATGTAAACAATGACATCTCTGACCACACCCTGCAAAATACAATGTACTTAGCAAATGCTGCAGCTTCTGAGAATGTGGGGGGGAGCGGGTTTATTACTAAGAGCAGAGACGTTACCGAGAACAAATTCTGGCTTGAATGTCATGTACACTAATACGGACACGTTCCTAGATAAGAGAGAGGAGTTTGAAACGCTACTAAGAGTACACCAACCAGATATTGTAGGTGTTGTAGAACTGTTGTACAAGAACAGGAGAATCGACCCAGAGGAATGCGAGTTCAGTATTGCTGGATATGACTCATTTACGAACCTTTCTCAAGAAACTTGCAAAAGGGGTGTGGTTATCTACGCTAGGCAAGACCTTAGAGCCAGCCAGGCGAGGGTACAGGGAGAGGATGTTTTTGATGAGTCCAAGTGGTGTAAAATTAAATTAAAGGGAGGGGACTTACTTATCGTCGGGTGTATCTACAGATCCCCAAACTGTGGCCCACTAAATCAAAGGAACTTAAAAACCTTAATAAGCAATGCGGCGATGCTTAACACTAGCCACCTCCTTATCATGGGGGACTTTAACTATGGCGACATCGACTGGAGAAACGAGTCCACTCCGAATGACTTGAATAACCCTGCTACTCTTTTTGTAGAAACTCTGAGAGAAATTTTCTGCTCCGATATGTTAGAGACCCGACACATTACAGAGGGAAGTAAACACCCAAGCCACTTGACCTCATCATAACAAACGAGGAGGGTATGGTGGCCAAACTGGAACACCTTGCCCCAGTTGGCACCAGTCACCATACAGTGTTGTCATTCAGATTTAACTGTTACCTAGTTCAGGATAAGGCCAGGCCAAGGTGCAAATATTACAAGGGAAATTACAATGGGATGAGGGAAGAGTTGAGGGGTATCAACTGGCCAGACTTATTAAGGTACAAGAACGCAGACACTACGGTGAATATCATAACTAGTAAAATGACACATTTGATCGATATATTTGTACCCAAGACCAAACCCAGTGCTTCTAGGAATACGAGGGGATCCCTACACATGAACCATGCGGCGGTCGACAAAATTAAGAAGAAAACCCAGAAATTCAAGACATGGGTTGGGTCATACGATGAGCAAGACAGGAGGATGTATGCAAGAGCGAGAAACCAAGCAAAGATAGAGTGTAGGAGGGCTGAAAAGGAGTTCCAGAGGCTGGTTGCAAGCGTTTTACCGCTATGCAAAGTCGAAATTGAAAACGCGAGTAGGAGTATCAGACCTGAGGCTGGTGGATGTTAGTTACGCAGATTCTGACCAGGATAAAGCCGAGGCATTGAACAGCTTCTTTTCCTCAGTGTTCACAAGAGAGGATGCAACTAACCTGCCTGCGTTTGAGGACAGACGGTTCGACACAGCGCTGACCCACATTGTGTTCACAGAAGAGGGTATTAGAAATAAACTGTCCAGGCTAAAGGTCCATAAAAGTCCCGGACCTGACATGGTGCATCCTAGAGTGCTAAGGGAGTTGTGCAACGAGCTTGCAGAGCCCCTGAAGATCCTGTTTTGTAAATGCCTGGACGAACAAATGGTCTCCAGTGAATGGAAAGTGGCTTATGCGAGTCCTGTCTTCAAGAAGGGCGATCGTCACTCCACGAACAACTATAGACCGGTGAGCCTGACCGGCATAATATGTAAAGTACTTGAGAGTATTATCAGAGATGTCGCAATGGAACATCTAATACGAAACAACCTTGTAAAAGATTGCCAACACGGTTTTATGCCGGGGCGCTCCTGCTTAACACAATTGCTCAAGGTATTGGATATTTGGACCCATATTCTGGAACGGGGTGGTAATATCGACAATATTTACCTAGATTTTGCCAAGGCTTAAAATCAAACTGAAAGGGTACGGAATTCGGGGAAATGTCCTAGCGTGGATAGAAGACTTTCTACATGACCGCAAGCAGTGTGTGGTGTTCAATGGTACGAAATCGTCATCTGTACCTGTTACAAGTGGGGTACCACAGGGCAGTGTATTGGGCCCGCTGTTGTTTGTTTGTTTCATAAATGACATGCCTGACGTTGTACACTCCTCCATACAAATGTTTGCCGATGACGCCAAGTTATTTCGGAAAATTA